GTTGTTTTATTTATAGTAATTTATACTTCAACGAGTATAAATAATATTAAAAGTAAACTTATTAGTTATTTATATTTTTCATTAAGGTAAACTTTAGGTGACTTCAATGTAATTGATTTATGTGGTAAATAATTTTTACTGGACAAAATTGCTAACAATTATATTTTATAACCTGCCATATAGAAAAGCAATTAAGCTTTTGTTAAATTATTAAGTTTAAACATTTTTATTTATTGGATACTATCGTGAATATGATTATTGATTATCAATGCATGCAAACTGATTGAGAGTGATCTTTTATCAGCTGGCAATAGTGAATTATAAAGTAACTTCTATTAGTATAAAAATAAATTATAATTATTTCCCCATTTACATGGCCAATTAAAATTGCTTAAGTAACACATAACTTTTGCTGTTACTGACTTTTAATATAATTCTTAGTTTTTTTAAAAATTGAAATACAGTGGTCGCCGCTTATTAAAATCACGGTTAATGTTATCAATCGTTTATTGTTATCGAAAAGTGTAAGTACGGGCCGGACCTATACTTATATGTGTAAATCATGTCGGTTTTTGTAATCAATATGCCACATAATATTATCAGTTTGAGTTCATAAAATCATAATTTTGTAACATACAATCAAATTTTTCGTAGAATGTCTCACAATAAAGATAAAAATTGTAATAAAGATATAAATGTCTATACAGTATACACGTTGATATCACATTTATATCTAACTTTCATTCGTACAGCATTAAGACAGTACAAATACGAACATTTTATCAATGAAATTTTAACGGTAAAAAAAAAACAGACATCGATAAAAAAATATTGTTCAAGTTAGTGGTATACATACATACTATACATATTTATTTATTTAAATTTAATTTTTTTTTTAATTTTAAATTTCCAATTTATACCTACATATGTACTTTATTTATAAATAAATAATAAAAAATAAAAAAAATTATATTTTTATTAACTATGTATTTAACGTAGATTTTATTATTTTTTATAACTTTTTTAACTTTCGTTTAATGTTATCAATCGGATTATGTTATCAGTTATGTCCCGTACCAAAGTGATTACATTAAGCGGCGACCACTGTATTATGTAAAAAAAAAAGGATAAATATATAACTAATAAACAAGAAATACTAGGATAGAATAAATTATTTAAGAGGTATAAATTGTTTTATGAAATATACAGGATACTCAAGTGCCTCTTACACTAATAATATTATACATATTATTAAACTTTTATTCTCAATCAAATGTTACAAAAATTAACATATAAATAATATAGCCTATATATACAATAAACCACGACATAAATATTATGGATGACAATCTTTCATAGTTGCTGTGGTGATGTTTTAAAAGTGATGTTCATTTTTTAAAAGTTAAACGTAAAATAAAACAAAATTAATTTTAATTAATATACTAAAGAATGACAATTATAAATTAATGATAGTAATAATAATAATAATAATAATAATAATAATAATAATAATAAAAAAATGTATAATCATTTTTTGAGTTTTAATAAGAAAAAATACAAATTATGGCATCATAACATATACATTTATACCTAATAAATAGTTTACTAAAATCTTAATACATAAATATGATGTATTCATATATAAAATATGTATGTATGTATATATTTTTATCAGTATATGTATATTTCAGCATTTTTATTATTTAGTCTAATTTTACAAAAAAAAAAAAAAAAATCAATAATAATGTAATAACAATAATGGGGAATTTTAATATAGGTATAAATTATGTATATTAAAATAATGATACAGAACAACTCCAGTCATTTTTCTTACATATTAAAAGTTATGATAATCTACATTATAATACCAAACATTTTTAACTTCCAAAGTCTCAAAAATATTAATTCTATAAAAAAAAAAAATATTCAATTATTTTAGAACAAAAAATGTTTGGTTTTATTAAAACTATATTAAAATATAAGTTTATATATAGAATTAATAATATAATACAAGAACTAAAAATTAATACAAATTAAAATAAAAAGTGAATTTCATAGTTAAAATTTATTTTAAATATATCCAGGCTGAAAGTTAATTACACATACTATATAACACTGCACTTAGTAAAACGCTGAACGATTTTAATTAAAATACACAATAAAATAACTATATTTAACTAAAGTTTAAGTATGAATATAAACTATTGTATGTTTTAAATATTTATTTTAAACTTGAGTGCAGCACCATATTTTGTACAACATGTACCACTAAGTCATGTCTTACATGATCCTAATTTAAGTGGGATTTATATAATACAATAATTAAAATATATTTATTAAGTACACATATTTATATTTAACCACAGCATTATACATGCGACAGAATTAGTTATAGTACATGATATACATAGTATGTAACTGATATTTATTTAATTTGAAATTTTATTTAATGCAAATATATTTTAATATATATTCAAAAAAACATTAAAATTATATTTCAACATAAATATATAATTTATGTAAAATGATTATTATGAGGTATATGATTGATAGTTACAGACAACATGTATATAGATAACTCAGTGGCGAATCCAGAAATTAATTAAGGGGGGGAATAAATCTTCATGCCAAGTTCCGATTGACAATTTATCATAATTCTTTTGGATAGTGGGTAACCTAACCTAAGCTCAAGGGGTGGGGCATTAATTATATTACCCCTTCCTCCCTGGATCTGCCACTGAGATTACCAAATTTAGATAACTACTTGGTAGCAGACTATTAAAAAAAAAGTTATTTTAAAATTAAGTATTTAAAAATTTGGTAGCCAAGAATGTTTTTTATGAAGATTAAATTTTTATAAGTTTTAAATACATAAGATTCAACTAAAAAGTATGCAATAGGTAAAAATTATTGGAAAATAATTAGCACCATAAATTTGGCAACAAGCAAACCATATTATATTTATCTTTTGTCTGTAACTTCAACCATCAAACATAAAACTTGTAATAGTATTAAATAATTACATGTGGTCAAAGTAGTGAAAGGTGAGAAGGGATAAGATCCCACAAATATTTATCATTCTTAAGTTTTATCAACTTTATTAATGCTATTTAAGATAATTTGCCATCAATTGGGTTTGTATTATTGCCTTATCTTTTTTAATTTTACATTACTAATTTTTCTTGTGAACTAATTTTGTTTTCATAAAAATGTGCGCTAACTGGATATCAAAACTTTTCACTTTAATAAATTATATTTTTTATACTTAAATTAAAATTTTGTTATTTAAATATTATTTTAACTAACTTTGACCACTGATAATTGTTTAAACAATATGTTTAATTACACTCATAAGTCATAACATGTTAAATATACTTGAATAATTAAATGTAAACTGAATTAGATTGATAATTGATATTTTCATAACAAAGTACCATTGTTGTTATACTCTGAACAAGAATTAAAATTGCAGCAAGTAACGAATGAATAATCTAAGGGTAAACTTCAGCACTTAAAAAAATTATATAAAGCTAAGTTTTTTTTAATGTAAAAATTAAAATAATCTTAAATTAAAATCAAAAAATTATTACTATGGAGATTTTTCTTATTAGGAAACGGTTTTTACAATAAATATACAAAATAATTTGTAGAAATATGCGTTTCAAAATGTAATAATACTTTTGATTGTAAAATTAATACTGGCGCAAACGTAATGAAATTAATTATTTTTCCCTAAGAAATGCAAATTGATATATATATAATTATATTAAAAAAAATATTAATCTGTTAAGGAAAAAAATATATTTAAAAAAACAATGATCAGAAAAAAAAATTAAAGCTTCAATACATACATTTTTCTTCTAATATTCTAATAAAAATTAATTTGGTATTTGTTACATGAATATACATAATGTATATTAAAAATAATCTCTATTAAATACATTACTTAATACATTTATTAATCAACTTTCAATAAATCATACATAATCACGCCATTAGTAAAGATAGAGCAAATCTAATAAAAAAAGTTACTATTTTAAGATTAATTTATGATGCTACCAAGTAATTAAGAATAGATTTGTATTTCTTGAACTTAAGAAATAATCGGTAACTTGGATATTATTTTATAATCATTAGCACAACTTGGTAAGGTAATTTTTCAATGCTTAACATCATATTATATTCACTACTTATGTAGTTTTTTAAGATGATAAACAATATATAATATATTATAAAAGTAATCTAATTTAATTTGAAAAGTCAAGAATTAAAATGTATTAATTTTTATCAAGTATATGTTTTACATGAAACACCCATAATATAATCACATTACTATTTTGTACCATGTTTTTTGATATAAGTCAAACACACATGGTTAAAATAAAATGTATTTAAATATTATACAAATAAATAGTTGTTATTTTTAAATAGATAAGAATAGTTAATTGTTATAAAAATAATACATGTATATAGTTATTTAGTAAAGAATACAGGAATGTAAAAAGGTTTTAACTTAGAAGAGCTTATTGTGTTATTTGTTAGAATTAGTTGCGCCAATGATAACGATTGTAATGATCAATAATAAAATGTAATTAAAATATAACATAAAAGATAATAGTTGCATAAAAAATTTGGAAACTTGTTTCGAGTTCAAATTTGTACTCACTGCAATTATTTATAGGACATGATTATGATTTATTTACTGGTTTTAATTAGTAAATCTAATATTGGGAAGGCTTAAGGAAATTAAGACATATTAATATATAATTTAAGTATTGATTTTAGACTGAATTCAAAATAAAAACATTTGAACTTTTTATGTTTATACTCTGATAAATATTCTAAATTCAGACTTATATTTAAAATATATTATCTATATGTCTAATAAAACTTCGGGCTTAGCTTGTATTAATCACAAAGGGCAAAGAAATCATTTATGTTGCAAGTATATAAAAAAAAAAACAATGTCATACATGAATAAAAAATATCACTAATATAACATACTTGGCAATATTTCAATAGAGATTTAATGTAAGGGCAAACTAATACCATCACCTCCAAATCACTTAGGAGCATAATATCTGAGGTGAAGTTGAACTCCATCGCTACTGGGGTCCATTATGAGGCAAGCCTGCTTGATTATTTGGCTAAAAATTGTTTTAAATTAAATTTTAATTTGCTATTTCTTTAATTTAATAATAAACTATATTAACTAACTTGGGTTAAAAATAAACTTACCAAAGTCATGGGTGGAAAATGTGGTCCTTGGACAACCATGTGTTGTGCTACCGATAAATGATGTCCCAATTTTGGTCCAACATTGTCTTCGGCTTTTTCTTCTTCTCTCCTCTTTAGACAAGCTGCTTTAGGATTCAGATTTCTCTCTGAAAAAAATCATTACAAATTATTATAAAATAATAACAATTATTATGAAACAAGGTATTAATAATTTACCTCGAACTTGTTGTTCCAATGACATGATGACTTCAACAGCCATATTGAGAATACCCAGTTTAGTTTGAGGTTTATCGGTTTTTAGGTGTGTCATGCACATCCTGCCAAGTTCTTTTAATGCTTCATTAATGTCACGGATTCGAATTCTGAAAATAAATCATTAAAAATATGAAATAAAAATCACTATGATAACATAAGAATAGCTTTATAAACTTTTAAATTAAATAATTTTATCTAATTTTGTTAACTATTACCTAACAAAGACTTATTATTTCATATTAAAATTAAAATACATTACAGTTTAAGTTTTTTAAAAAAAATTTATGTTTAGTTGAAAGTATACATCATTAATTATAAAAATAATTACTAAATTTTGTCAATAATAAATAAAAATAGGAATATAATATTATTTTTAAAACAACTAATAAATAACTACATTTTTAATAAAACATTTAAATTTTAAATAAGTAAAACCGTGGAACTTATTTTGCAATTGTCAGGTGATCATAGCTGTGTACAAGGGGTATAGACTGAGTTTTTATGAAATTTTGTTTGATCACTGATTTATGTGAATATTTTTATAGTTATTTAATTTCACTATTCAATATTAAATATAAATAACTATTAATAGTTATTAATAAATTTAAAATGAAACCATGATATTAATATAATATAAAAAAAGGAGCCAAGAGCCGCACATTTAGTTGCCGGCAAAAAAGCTCACCTTTCTCGAGCGTTATTTGCTTGGCGGCGCTCCTTTTCCCGTTGAGCTTTTAATTCAGGATCTTCACTCTCGTCGTCCACACTTGTACAACAGCAATACGAAACATCACAATTAACATTAGTTTAAAATTTTTGTTACAATTTAAAAATTTTCTTAATGATCTAAGAATTGTAATTGAATATAATCTAAATAACTTTATTTAAAATTCTTAAAAAGAAAAAATATACAATTTTCAATATTATACAAATATATAATTATAATAGGTTTTAAATTTTAAATTAACAATATTAGCAACAGATATCTAATCAAAAACAATAAACTGTAAAATTGTTAAGTTTCACATTTTCTTTTACTTAATAGTTGAAAACTATTTAATTATACCTTATAAAATTAGATGAATTAGCAGCTTACCTTTCACGGACATTATTGGCTTGTCTGCGTTCTTTTTCTCTATGTGCTTTGGTTGAAGGATCTTCATTATCTTCATCAGCACTAGAACAACTAAAATGACAGTCATAAATTAAGTTAATATCTTATTTGTTAATCTATATGAATCAAGCTTGTAGGTGAGGTCAAATAGAGGTGTGCCAGTATTTAATGTCAACTGAACACAAAAAATACAGTACAAATATAATGATTTTTATTTTCATTTGTATCACTATACACATTTTGTTGTATACATACTCACAAGTATACAAAATGTATTATTATATCTATGTAAATTAATGTGCCATATTGTAGGTGAAACTTATATTGATAATGTTATAGATTTTTCCTGATAAGATTGGTAAATTATTGTTTTTTTAATTTTATTTAGTAATTAAGTCTAATGTTTATTTATTATTTTATATTCACACAATACTAATTTACTGTAATTCTAGAGAATTACCCATTACTTCATTCTTAAAATATTTCATTTTACATTGTTTTCATTTGACAAACAAAACTAAGTTCAGATAATATACATTAATCATATATTTCTTTTATCTACATACTATAAATAGTTTAAATAAAATTTAAACAATAATATAACCCACTGGTTTAATAAGATTTTTGCAATTAACATTATAGTTTATCATGGATAATAAGTAAAATAGTCTTGTGCAAATTTACCTAAACTGTTTAGTAACTAAATAACAAATTTTTTAAATTTAATTCATAGAATATTAAACATTTTGGAGGGAATTTATATATTAGAATTTTTTTAAATGGATATTTGTTCGTTTGAGGTTCTGATAATCAAACACCTGAGACACCTCTACGAAACAAAAATCTGAAATTAAGTTAAGTTAATGTGTCTTTAAGAAAAAGGGGGAAAATTGCACATTAAACTTACTATCGACGGGATCGTTTTGAATTTTTATTTATAGGCGAATTGTTTGGGGGTGAATTGGCATTAACGATGTTATTTACTAACAAGTGATCACTGCTAGTAGGCTTGATGTCTGAACTGTCTGGAGGTTCTTTCCGTTTTTCTGCAATAAAAATATTACTGCTATTAGATTTTATTATATTTGAAAGTGTAAAACATATATAATTAGTATATGAATAGAAAAAAAAAATTTTAATTTATCAATACATACTGATATTGCTTAGTCTTTCAATTTTGATTGGCCCATCACTGTCTTGACATGCTGAAAGAGTTTGGTAAGTATTTGGAACAGCTCCTACTGTAGCAGTTGCTGAATGGGGACTTCCCTGAAAGCAAAACAATAAATTATTAGTAAAAAATAAAAAAAGTAAAACCTTTAGAAAAAAAATTAATTATAAATAATATAACTTACTAAATGTTGATGATACAATGGTACAATGCCTGAAGCGGAATGTTGAACACCAGCTAAGCTTAAAGCTTGACTTTCAGCATGGTTTCGTAGAACATTTATGGCATCGTCCAGTCTTTCTTCCATACGACTACCCTATAATAAAAACAAAAATTTACTTGTAAAAACAAACTATAGAAAAAGAAAGAATTAAAAAAATTACACCAACCCAAGTTAAGACAATTAATGTTAATACTAATTGTAGCTATTAAATTTAAGAGTTAGAAATGTTAGAATATTACATACCAAATGAATAGTGCGATGGTCAGTAGGAAAATGAGGAGATCCAGGATGAGGTGGTACTACGCCAGGGGTCCAAGATCCGGCACTGTTTGCTGGCGCTAAAGGTGCCAAAGGTGGTGGTGAACTTACAGGTGTAGATGGATTTGAACTGTAACTGCTGACACTCTGGTCAGTGGGATATATCTACAACACATTGTTGTATCTTAAGAAATTGCTTTTTTTTATTTTTATATATTACAAATGAATTTTGAAATATTTCATAACCACTGACGTAGGTCCAGAATACTGTAATAGGGTGTAAAATTTCAAGGATAGGATTCAGGTATTTTTTTTTACAGCGACAACAAAACATAGTCCCTATTAAACCTAACAATTATAAAAAATGTATAATGAATCATTGTGATTCTTGTTAGTTGATTGTTAATAAAAGCAACAAAAAGCCTTCAATGGTAACTATTTAAGCATACCGTATTAATATCCCAGTGTAAATAAATAGTATATATTATATAATATGTAGGTTAATTATGTATATAAAAATAAAGCAAATAAATAAATAAATTTATCGTACTGATGCTAAGGTTTTGCCAAGTGTATCCCCGGGAGATTGAATAGTGGGACTGTTATGTCCTGGGTACATCATTGAGCTAGGGGTAACTGCAATTGGACTTGGAGCAGAAGGAGGAGCTCCACGCAAACTTGACATAGGTGGTAGAGGGGAAGTACCTAGGCCATCTGTAGCAGGTGAAACACCACTAGGAGGTATACTAGTATTTGGACCAATAGTATTATAGCCCTGTGAAAAATAAACATTTATTATCACCAAACTTATGACTCAGATATAAAAAAAAAAAAACAAAAAAAAAAAATAAAAAATAAATAAAAAATAAATAAATAGAAAATGTTAACAAATAGTAAAAAATAAAACTATAACTCGTGTAAATATAAAAAATTAATGAACTTTAGTGATATTTATTTGAAAATTACATAATATTGTAATGAATAGATAATAAAATTAAAATATAATTTATTCTCTTATATTATAGATTAAAATATATTATAAATAGCAAACATTGATACAACCATTTATCCCTTATTGTTTTAATTTTGGTTTGACTCTCTAGTGGGAAATGATAGGTACTTATTTCCCACCTTCTCCAGCCAAAATATACAATTAGTGAGTCAATTCCAAATTAAATTAATGAGCAAAAAACGATTGTGTCGGTATTGTGTTTCTACAATAAAATTAATTTATGTTTATACTAATGAGATCAAGTAAATAACATATAATTATAAATTATTAAAAATGATAATAAAAGATAACAATTTCTGTAAGATTTAATTTTAGTAAGAATATGGACAAAAATTATTATTTAAAAATAGATTGATAAATTTTAAATAATAAATTTAATTATCTCTCAATGTTTATGAAAATGATGAAATTGAATAAATATATCATAGTAATTTAAAGTATATCCGTAGATTGTGTATTCTTACTAATTTGTCACATACATATTATTCATAATTTTTAGATAAATAAGAAACTATGAATATTTCATTTAAAATCTAGTATGAAGCTCTATATTCAAATATAAACAGTATAATATTTATTATTTTAATTGAAATGTAGAAAGGGTGATAAGAGCTTTTGACATATAATATGTGTAGAGGTTTATTTAAAAATAATATAATATAATATTAAGAAGAAATTGTACACAACACAATTATTACTATTTAACTTGAGATAGAGGATTGTATCAAATATCAGTTTGAAATTACAACAATTACATAAGTTTTAAAAACTAACTATTTTGGTTATGCATTATTATAAACCTAATTGTTTTTTTTTTCATAATGCTACATTTTAAAACTTTTTAATATTTTATGCAAATTTAGTGTTGATATTTAAACATTTAAATTTTTTGTTTTAATGCTTTTGTATACTATAAACACAGAAGTAAATCATTAAAGGTTACCTTAAGAACTAAAATATGAAGTTGATAAATAAATACAAAAATTTAAATGCACAAAAAAAATTATACATTATTATCAATATTTTAATAATTTACATACAAAGTTTTCAAATTATAAACGTTTTTGTAAAGCTTAATATTTTATATAATCATCAAAAATAATATTTCGATAAAATATAACAAGAATTAAATAATGATAAAATAATAAAATTTACAAAAAAGAAAAAAAAAAAAAAATTTTATAAATTATTGTTGTTATATTATATCGTTCTACAAATAAGTTTTTATTTTTATTGTAAAATATTAAGAAATAAAAAAAAAAACTTATAAAACTAAAAATCAGAATACATTTAAATAATTTAACTAACAATATTCTATCATAAGATATCATAAAAAACACGTACTAAATAATTAATGATTAACTATTTTCTATAAATATTTTCATTTAAAACCAATAAATATAACACTAAAAGTTAATAAACCATTAAAGCAACTACTATTCAATTTTTTTTCATCAAACATAACTACGAGTACTTATGTCAAAAATTCAAATTTAATTAGAATAAAAGTTAATCATTTATTAAAATGATTGTACAATATACAACATAATTAAATAATAATATCTACATACAATGAGATTTGAATATTATATATGTTATATGCATGTTTTTTTTTTATGTATCAATTCGATGTTACCATTGAAGGGGAATTTGTTTGTACAGTGTTGTTCGCAGCAATATACACATTAATAAAGCTCAAATAACCTCCCGTTAATTTAAAGTTATTTCTAATTTAATGTTAGCTTTAGCCCTTAGAAGTGACTAAAAGTAAATGATATATTCTTACCAAATTTTCTGGTGTTAGCATAGTGTTTGTTGGCGGAAAATTGTTTGGCGTCATGTTTGGAGACGTGGTCAGCAGCGGATTGGGTGGGTTGGTATATGTTGTATACGTTGTAGGAGACTGAAGTTGAGCAGTAGCACTAGTTGTCCAAACATCGCTATTATTTCCTGTGCTGTCTATAGATCATAAATACAAAATTGTTACACCGTAAAAATAAAACGATTACAAATGTTGACTAATATAAATTACACTAATTACCTAAATAATAAGAATCAGCATTGTACACAGATGAACCAGGTTTTTGAGCAGCAAATCTAGCTGGGTCTGGTGAAAATTCATCACCACCATACTAAAACAAAAATATTCAAGTTAAAATTTAGTAAATAATAATGAAAAGTATAATTTTTAAAATATACATAATTTATTGTATATAATTAATAATATTTGACTAGGAAAATTATTAATACAGAAGTACTTATAGACTATTTTCACGAAAAATACTTATTGTTAAGTAGTAAATACCTATTATAGCATAATAAAGTAGACTACATAATTAAAAATAGGACAAACATAATTTAAGAACTGGCCATAAACATAATATGTTAGAAAAAGTCAAGATAAATCTATCTTGTTGCCAGCAATAAACAGAAAATAGAAATAAAAAAATTGATGTTTTAAGTACCATACATTAATATTTATATATTAATTCATTATTATCTAGTATCGACAATTTATTATTATCTTGTAGACGTACACAGGACTCAATGTTATAGTTATTCATGAGTCTTGTTTTTGATTTGGTCACATACGGATCGGACGAAAGCCTTATACATATTCTATTATCAAGGTTATGGTTTCAAAGTATTTGATATAATTATCAGTTATATATATATTGACTACTTATACTTATGATAGGCTGATTGAGAAAAATATAAACAAAGTAAAAATTCCATTATTTACACGGGAAAACAGAACGAACAACGAACACAACCTTGAGAAATGTACAAGGCTGAAATTTAAAATTGTTAGCAGTAAGCCACCGTAGAACATAATATGTGTAGTTTGGGAAACAATTATTATGCAGATAAAAGTGCAGACGGCAATATAAGCTGGAGTGATTCGATTAACCGGCCGGATTAACCGTGGGTATAGTTTAGCGGTAAAGAACCTTATGATTTGAATTCCCTTATTATGTCGGATGAAAAATCATCGAACGTTTTGCAAGATAAAAAATTAATTTCACTTGATCAAGTATAAATTTTTTCAATTGTAAAAATGCTATAATTATAATCGCTATGCAACAAAAAAAAAAAAAAAAAAAAAAAAACAAACTACATAATCCCCGGCACTCCGATTTCCTGTATGCATAGAAAAATAATAGAAACAAAGAGGAAAAAATACTGCTTATATAATACGAATACTATACAGTGGTATTTATACAGTATGTATGTTGGAGGTGATATACGGGTAAACTTTTAATGAGTTTGTCTCGCGCGCACACACCACTACCCACACGATGAGGGGTACATTTTCTCTACCTTCACTCCACCACACAACAAACATAAATTTGCTTTGTTGAAGTGAAACTGCAGTGCACCCGTAATAGGTACAAGACGCGTAAGTACGTACCAATTTATACAGTCGAGAGCATTATCGTTATCGGTATTTTATCACATGACTCTTTATAGAATTATTCATCACGGCCTCGAGAAATCTATACCTATATAATATATAATATTACATAAACGAAATAACCATATAATCGCGTTAATAGTTTTTATCATTTTAACAAGGAATTAAAATCGTTACTTCTTTTGGAATAAAAAAAGCAACAACACCACGTGACGAAACTTTAGAATCGTGGCCAAGATTTTAAACTGAAGATATCTATTCCGTTAACTCGCCAATTGTTTTATGCAAAACGGTAAAAAAACGTATAGATAAATATATAAGACAATATTATACACGCATAGGTATACTGTAATACCAACTTTTTAACGTTCAGTGCCGTCAGCTGACACATCCTGCGACTGTGTGAATGATAATAAAGTGTTTTATAAAACAATTCTATAGTAGATTTAGAAACATACCCTAGTCAATACAAAACCAGTACACTTTCAATTGCGCTTATTTAAAAATTCGAAACTGTCGTATTGTTGAGTTGTAGATAGATGTTCTAAGGACATCATTTTTTCCCTTATATGAGCTTAAATCGTACTTTAGTAATTAGTATACAAAAATACCTAATGTTATGACTATAATATAAAAGTGATTATACATTTTTAATTTGTATTTATTAAAGATTTATTTTGTGTATTATTACTAACATAATAATAATACGATTAATTGCAGATAATAAAGATACAAATATAATACGTATATTTTCTAAATTATTAAACTCAAAGCCGGGTCTAGAAGATGGTAGCAAAACGCGATTATGATTTTATCATTGTGTGAATAAACCGTTAGTAACAATCAATCTATAGCGAAAGTGATTATCGTATCATCATACATCATGGGTAGAGATTTAATTTAATTTTATAAAAAGACTAAAATTTTCTTACACAAAATGAATTAGTAAGATTTTAGTACGGGTTTTAGATACGAAAACCGCGTATTAAAGTTAAAAAGATTTATTTTCGTTTGGTGTTATTATCATAGGAATTTTACAAATCTTTTTAGGCATAGATAATAAATTATCCATATTTGCTAATATATGTTATCACATTTCTCACTTTTATAAAGTTAATTTTTATATTTTACAAATATCTATTATATGGGAAAAAGTACATGTCTATGAACAAGATGAAAATCATAAAGATATTTAATAGAAAATAAGTGTATTATCAATTATTAAAGTGTATTCTAGAATTTCTAAAAACAGATAATTTTTTCTACCTTCATGTTGAAATATAATTTATTAAATTTTGTTTTTACATTAGTTATTTCTATTTTCTATCGTTAAACAAATAAAAATTATTAATAATGGTTCTCTTGAGTTTGATTACCAGTATCTATTTTTGTGTAAGATACGTATTTTGAGTATATAGCCATAAATATGTTAAAATTGTTTTTAACTTTACTGCCTACGAGTTAGGCGGACACAAAGAAAGTCTGCGTACAATACAGTTTTTTATCTTAAAAGAATAGGGACTAAAATTATGACGATTTAACTGAATTAAATTTCTCAAAACTATATAGTGCTCAATAACATATTTTGAGTTAATTTTATAAAAACTTTAAATGTTATTTAAAATACAGACATTATAACAATAATCTACTGCAAAAGTTTTAATACGATATTCAATATTTTCTAATCAATTTTTTTGTACAACAAACTTTTAAGACCAATACACTATACTAATTGCGTCCTTTTTAAATTAAATTCCAATGTATGAATACACATTCAAATTTGATTCATTTATTGTCATTATTTAATTTACATTGAGTATCAAGCGTTAAATGAATCACCGTTTAAAGTTTAGTATATCTTTGAATTTTAAAGATTTTTAAGTAAATTTTGCTATCGTTATTAGAGAAATTGGATATTTACATATTTACTATAATATCACTGACTATAGTGGCACTGTTACACAGTTTATACCAAATAAATTATGTGACGCGTAAAATATACACAAATAAATGTAAATCATGTGTCATGTGAGTTTTGGCTTTATGGCTCTATCCATAATATTGTGTTTGTATTTATTCTCTCTTACTCGATTCCAAATAACGTATAAGTCTTATATGAAAAAAAAGTATAGAACTGTTATAATTTCATCACGATGACATTTAAATAAAGATCAAGAAGATTAAAAGCTTAACAGGTAGTTGTAAATCTTCCAGGTAAAATAACATTTTATTTTTATTTTTGACAACACACACACGAATAGTATAACAGCGATAAAACTTTAAGGGATTTAAAATTACTAGCCTATCGGCTATCGCTATAAATTTAACAAACAAATGCTGATAATAGTATTGTAACTTAGATAACAACAATATATAATTTATTTGTGAGTGCAATAAATTTGTTTTGGTGAATATATTTGGATAATAGTAATTTGTATCATCCTATAAAGTAAAACGAAACATAATATTGATGTATTGTAATAAAAATATTAAAAATAAAATAACTAAAAACATTTATTGTAAGGAAAAACAAACAAAAAGTGTTATTTCGATTATTACACAGAATTTAAAAATAAATGTTAATGCTCTATGTAAATTACTATTGCAACTGTTAAAAACTAGGATAATTAATTAATAATCATGTTTACATGATCGACAGAAATAAGCTCGAACAAACCCATTGTTAATAACTATTCTTTATTATTTAAGTACAATTTAGTACCTAATAAAGTTGAGTTATTAAATTTTAAATAGTACTAATTTAAGATAAAAAAAAAGTAGGTATTTAATTTTACGTCATGAAAAAAACCACTATATTTGATCTCTTTCGCTTTTATCAATAATAAAACTTAGAAAAAAAAAGAGTTAAAAATAAATGTAAAAACCATTAAAAACCTTAGCCATCTCTTCACCGCCTCATATTAAAACAAGACCGCGTGAACAATTTAAAAACACTTCAAAAGTTTAATTAAAAATTACAATTACCAAATAACTTAGAAAAATAAACAAAAAAATATTATGGCTTTATATTTATTATAGTAGGTACCTATAGTAGTATACCTATGAACAATATATACGACTTTATGGGTAATGGGTATCTATTATTCACTAAGTATAATTAAATTAAACGTGGTAACACATATAACATACAGTAGTACGATTATGTTAATTAGTGCATTGGTTAATATGATAAAATTAGTTTAAATAGTAGCCAATTATTAGTTCTGAGCATTCTATTCTTCTATGAATTCTTAGCTTAAAACAAAACTATATCAAAAAAATGTATATGAGTTCCATCTGAATTAATTATAGAATTAAAAAGTACATCAATAGATGCAGCTAAACAGTTTGTTTAATGATTAAAATTAAAATAGTTGATTGATAACTTACATAAAGTAATTAACCATTAGGGTATAGAATTAAATTTAATGTTGATTAAATGTATACATTAAACATTAAACGATAACACAATATTATGTTATCCTATTAACCATAAAAAGAAATTTAATGTCTATAATATAATACTATTATAATTTAAAATAGAATCATAATTTTCAAATACCAAAAATAATATTAGTTATTACTTATTATAGGATTTAAATTAATGACCATGTTAAGATAATCTAAGACTCTTAATTGGAAATATTTAATATATTGAAACACGCGCACACAATACATAAGATACTAGTATGTTAATAATTTTACTAATACTGCAAA